TGTGGCCAGCTCAGCCCACCAGGGGGCGGGGCTGGCTGGCATGTGGTGCTGGGGGATTGAACCGCGGTCCTTGTGCTCTGCCAAGCTTGTTCCAAGTAGGTGCCCTAGACCACTGAGCCATCTCGCCAGCCCCTTAATTACCCTTCTTGTTACACCAGCTGACAGTAAACTGAGTGATGTGTTTCATAGGTAAAAAATTAGCAGAACCACTGATTTTGTGGTTTATAGAAGTGCAAGATTGTTTTGTTAAAGGTGTTTTGTTTTGTTTTGTTTTGTTTTCTTTAAATGTTTCCTTTATTTCTTTTTTCTTTTTTTGGTCAGCTCAGCCCACCCTGGGGGTGGGGTTGGCATGGCATGTGGTGCTGGGGATCGAACCGAGTTTCCTGCATGCTTGCCTAAGCAGGTGCTTTAGACCACTGAGCTATCTTGCCATCCCATTGGTTGGTTTTTTGAGGCAGTGTCTTGCTACATCATCCACTTTGAAGTCAAAGCTTTAGGACTTGTGATCCTCCTGTCTCAGCCTCCCAGAGTGCTGGGATTGCTTGCATGACCCACCACCTATTAAGCCAGGACAGGTGAACTTCTGTTTGAAAGACATTTTATTCAAGACAAACTATTCTATATAAGCTCTAGAAAAATTAGAAAATATACTACACTTTTTTTTTTTTTTTTTTTTTTTTTTTTTGGTGGAACCAGGGATTGAACTCAGGCCCTTGTGCTTGCCAGGGAAACACTTATTCCACTGATCCATCTCCCCGGCCCCATACTACTATTTTTAAGGGGGACTTGTAGTGATACAATATGTGAAAATGTGCCATTTTGTGCAATTTTGATCTCGAGTCGAAATTCAGGATAAAAAAGGCAAGAACCTGTTTATTCGGAGAAGCAGTATACAGCTCAGCAATTTAGAATTGATTATGCTAGGTTCTGGAATTTCATGTGCTGGTCTTCATTTATTGGCGAGCTTCACACTTGCGCTCGGCCCACATTCCATTTTTGTTAGACTGAGCATGGTGGCACACGGGAGGCTAAGGTAAGAGAATCCCTCAGAGTGCAAGGCCAGCCTGAAGCATATAGTGAGACCCTATCTCCAAAAAATACAAATAAAAACCCAATACAGTATTTTTATATGACCTGATGTATATGTTTATTGGGCAGAGTGTGGCAGTCAGACCAAGGTGATTGATATAAATGTCCCCTCCAACATTTACTTTTTTGAGGGGGGTACTCTATATTGAACTCAGCCTTGCGTGTGTCAGGCAAGCACTCTACCACTGAGCCACATCCCCAGCCCCAACATCCATCATTTCTTTGTGTGAGGAACATTTCAAATCTTTTTTTTTTTTTGGACATATGTTCAAAATTCTTTAGATTTATTAATAATTAAATAATATCAGATTGATAATTGGATAAAAACATTTCAAATCCTCGCATTTTGAAACAATCAATTATTGTCAACCATAGTCAACATACTATGCTGTCCAGTGTTCAAAGTTATTCTTTCTAACTTTACCACTCTTAGCCTTTGTTGCTTTTTATCACTCACATGTACAAACCTTTCCTCAGCTCTGAGAACCACTATTGCATTTTCTCCTTCAAGGTATTTGTTTTCTGACATTTTCTTCATTAATTTGAACACATAGTTCAATTAAACAAGGATTTCTTTTACTGAGATTTAGGGCTGGTGTGTATTTTAACCCATCAGCACATACATACTTCCCCCCCCACTTAAAAGGCCAATCTTAGAGTAATTTTCCCGCAGTCCGTTGTCTTCCATCCCAAGAGCTTTGCTTCATTGACCTTTCTCCGCCAACTCCAACTATTCACATGATTCCACTTGAGGTTCTTATGTCCTTAAATGGAAAGCCTCTTTCTCCTACATCCTGCTCTAGTTCCCTGTCCTGCCATATTCCTATAGAAGTGACATGAGAATGCCTTACGCAGAACTGTTTGCTGGTGCTTACTTGTGATTTGCTCCACTGTTTTATTGGCAGCTGCTTGTCAAAAGCACAAGTGACACAGGTGTGAGCGTACGGGTTTGGGGACAGGGAAACTCTATTAGGCTCACTTATGTGTGTTCTTTGTGCTACCATCTCATAGTGTGCTCCCTGGAGTAGTTTCTTTGTCCTTTGAGTTCAGGTATTTATCCTACAGACTCCCAAATCTGTTGCCCAGGAATCAAAACATGAGCATTTACCAGTAATTGAATGCTTTTTAGGCATCCCCAAATCAGTATTATAAAACTAATGAGGACACTCCAGGTCCAGGATAAACTTTGTAGTAATGGGGACTCCTCCACATAGGCAGCAGACTTAAGAACTGAGCTTAATTCTTTTCTACCTAGGAGTCCTAAGTCCCTGACTTAGGAATATTCAAGTTGTGGACTTCCACAACTGTGCTGTATAATTGTTGAATACAAATGACTTGATAATACGAACAGTGTCTTGGAACAGAACTCATTTGTAAATTGTGAACTTATTGTCCCCTTTTTCTTCCAATCTCTCTATGACCACTTGATTTCTGCCTCCAAGTTAAATGCACCTGTTGGAAGGAAATATATGTGTTTGTGTGTATATATACATGTGTATATATATGTATGAATGTATGAGAGTTGGGAAAGATATACAGCTACTTTCTCTTAGTTCAAAAGTTTGTACTAACCTGTATTGAAACTGTTTCACCGCTATTTTATCTTTTTTCTCATTAAAATGAATAAAAAAGGGGCCAGGGAGATGACTCAGTAGAGTAAGTGCTTCCCTGGCAACTGCAAGAGCCTGAGTTCAATCCCTGGTTCCACCAAAGATAAATAAATAAAATAAATAAAAATTAAAAATAAAATAAATGTACCTGTTTCATTTCTCTTGCCTACAGATCATTGCAAAGGTAACCAAACTAGTCAGTCTCAGAAAAACTAATTTTTTTTTTTTGGTGGAACCAGGTAACTTCTTTATACCTCAGTCTAACCCAGTGATGGTGAACGCTGTGGTACGCATGCCGTAGGTTCATCGCCAGGGCTCTAAACTATGCTTTGTTTACTTTCTATTACGTGTTTGTACAACTGTACTGTAACTCTGAAAATATAGACAAAATGGTTCTCTTTCTGTCCACAGTCCACTAATCCCTGGCACATTACTAGTTAAGTAGGCAGGGATAATTAGAAGTAAGCTGTAAAATATCTGGATGTTGTAGAGCATAACTTTAATCCCAGCTACACAGCAGTCTGAGACAGAAGGATTACATGAGTGAAGGAGTTTACAACCAGTATGGGCAGCGTAGTGAGGCCCAACATAAAGTAGGATGACCAGTATAGCACATACACAAAACACTGCTGAAGCTGTTTATCATGCTCAAGTACTATGTACTGCAGGTGACAGTCTACAACTGTACACTAGAAGCACAGGTCCTACAGACGTGAGCAATGTGTGGCACTGTGATATTAAAACAGCTTTCACATAGTTAGGAGAGGAATTTTTCAGGTCCATTATTGTCTTTTGGGACGATGGTTCTATATTTAATCCATCTTTAACAAAAATGTCATGTGAGTGTGGCACATGTCTGTGCCTAAAAACTCAGTGATCTCATCTGCTCACATGGCTTCAGTATAATCTGTATTTCTTAATGAAGGGATCAGTATGATGTTTTGAATCTGTCTTTATCACAATTTGTTGGTCATTTCCCTGATGAACCATACTGCCTCCTGCCATCTTGAACTCAGCAAAGGCTTCAAAACTATTATCCCAGTGTACAATCATTTCCCAAATTGTATTGTACTTTAGAAGTCATTGTACCTAAGCAATAAATTTCGATTTATTCTTTTTAGCTTATGTTCTCTTTTTTTTCTTATGTTATCTTTATGCTATATTTATTCCTTCCTAATATCTGTCTTGCATCTTTCCCATTATATTTTATAGTCTACATCATAGGATCCTTCTCAATCCTGTGGAAAGGATTCTATTAACCCTTCCTCCCCAACTTAAAACCCAAGTTTAAAATAGTCCAATTGGGCCCAGGGATGTAGTTCAGTGGCATATTTACCTTTCTGGAAAGTACAAGGTCCCAAGTGCAATCTAGTTTTACTACAAAATAATGACCAAGTATCTTCAACTAGGCAAAAAAAAATTTTTTTTTTCCTGGCAGAACCAGGGATTAAACTCAGGCCCTTGTACTTGCCAGGGAAGTGCTTATTCCACTGAGCTGCCTCCCCAGCCCCCAAAGTTTTTTGTTGTTGTGTTTTTTGTTTTTTGTTTTTTAAGCGCAACCGGGGATTGAACTCAGGCCCTTGAGCTTGCCGGGGAAGCGCTTATTCCACTGAGCCATCTCCCCCAACTAGGCACATTAATGTGGACTTTTTTTCCAATACTGAGGATTGAACTCAGGACCCTTTGCTTGCCAGGCAAGTGCTTATTCTGCAGAGCTATCTCCCTGGCCCAGTGTGGACTGTTTTTCATCTTCTGTTTTTAACCTCCTACAATTTCAGTTCTAGACCCCTTGACTGGTCCTGCCTAGTGGACTGGATTTGTGCCACTCTTGCTTGTCAGGTGTCGCTTCACACCACCATATGGTAGCGCCAGCCCTAGCACTGATTAGTAATTTTCCTCACTAGATTCAGACAGAAAGCTTTCTAGTGTTTTTACATAATTGTTTTTGGGTTTTTTTGTTTGTTTGCTTTTTTGTATTTTCAAATAATTTTCTTGAGAAACAAATAGCAGTGAGACAGTTTCAAAACCGATTACTGGCACAGTTTCAATAATATGTTGCATATTCTTAGTGGTTATAGGTTGAACAAGATGCAGAAATGATATTCTGTCCACAGACAGTATTAGAACAAATCTCTATTCATGTAATAGACTGCAGCTGTATATCCTATTTTAAATATACACATACAAAATGGTCGTTCATTTGTATCCCCCTTTTTAGTTTAGTTTTGTCAAAGAATTGTATTCCATTGTCATCTAAATATTGTAGGTGTGGGAATTCAGCAAAATATTCCAAAACAGACCAGTAGTCCATAATACTATTGGGTTTTCCATAAGACTGGCAATGTCAGAAGTTGCTGACTTGAGCCTTTTACAGCTCAACATATTAACATGGTTTTATTTTTATACTTTGCTTTTATATTTTTCTGCTGGATGGTTAAGACCAAGATAAAGCAGACCTATATAACAAATGTAGCTTTTGTATCTGATAAGGTCAGTCAAATCCCCTCAGAATTTATCCTGAAACCTTGTACCACAGTCTGTAGATCCTTTGTCAGTGTCAGCCATGTGGATGAATCACGGCCATTGCTTGACCAATTTGCTCTCTGTGAAATCCTGAGAGAATGTTTTCTCTCCATGTGACTCTCCTTAGGCACACTCCACATCATCCATCACTTTCCTCTATGGCCCCATAATCTTTTTTTTTTTTTTTTAATTTTATGTGTGTGTGTGTGTGTGTGTGTGGCCAGCTCAGCCCACCAGGGGGCGGGGCTGGCTGGCATGTGGCGCTGGGGGATTGAACCGTGGTCCCTGTGTTTTGCTAAGCTTGTTCTAAGTAGGTGCTTTAGACCACTGAGCCATCTCACCAGCCCGGCCCCATAATCTTGATCAGAAGATTTGGGACACTACTGAGTTACATGATGTTACAGTACAGGTTCTCTTATGTCCTTAGTCTTCACTGACCTTGAAAGGCTAGGGCCAAATGTTGCTTATTGATTAGGAACTCAATTTGGAATTTGGAAAGCTAAGTGGTAATTTTTCTTTTTTTTTTTTTTTTCCCCGGAACCAGGCATTGAACTCTGGCCCTTGCGCTTGTCAGGGAAGCACTTATTCCACTGAGCTATCTCCCCGGGGCCCCTAAGTGGTAATTTTTCATTGCTTGAATGCATTCATAAATTAGATTGCTGTGTTTTTTTATTTTTATTTTATGTGGTATGGGGGATCGCACTTGGGACCTTGCAATTTCCAGAAAGGCAAATATGCCACTGAGCTATATCCCTGGGCTCAATTGGACTATTTTAAAATAGGGTTTTAAATTGAGGAAGGGTTAATAGAATTTAATCTGCACCTATTTTTGGAAAATGTCTAAAGGAAGTTATACCTGCATTATTAAAAAACAAAAAAGGAGGCCAGGCATGGTGGCACATACCTGTAATCCCAGCACTGAAGAGGCTGAGGCACAAGGACCAATGAGATTTTTTTTTTCTTCCCCCTCAGAACCTTGCATTTGCCAGGGAAGCACTCATACCACTGACCCATCTCCCTGGCCCTAGACCAATGAGAATTTAAGACCAGTTTGGGCTACAAAGTGAGCTCAAGGCCAGCCTTAAGTGCACAGTGAGACCCTGTCTCAAACCCCCAAAAGTAATTCCAGGTTCTTGAAATACTTCTTTTGTAGGGAATCAGATATCACAAAGGAGAGAATTCAGAAGATTCTGGCAACCGGGGCCAATGTGATTCTTACCACTGGTGGCATTGATGACATGTGTCTGAAGTATTTCGTGGAGGCGGGTGCTATGGCAGTTAGAAGAGTCTTAAAAAGGGACCTGAAACGCATTGCTAAAGCTTCTGGAGGTACGTGTGCTGCCTGGTCTTGGGTGAAATGCTTCATGCTGATATGCATGATGGTCTTAGAAGATGGCCGTCGTTTGTCTGAGCCATAAACCTTAGATTTGTAGTGCGTGACTGGTAAGCCCTAGCAGTCAGGAGGCAGCAGGATTGGCAGAATTTAAGGCCAACCAAACATACCAAGGCTTCGTCTCAAGAAGCAAAACCTTTTTCTTTTCAGGACATGTTTCTCAGTATAAAACATGGTGAACTCACTGTGAGAACTAAACATAGGAGTGCGCACCTGTGAACCCAGTACTCCAGAGGCTGAGGCAGGAGGATTGCCATGAGTTTGAGGCCAGCCTGAGCTACAGAGTCAGTTTGAGGACAGCCTGAACTACATGTAAATAGCAAGACTCATCTCAAAAGATAACAAGATTGACAAAGAATCAATAGGAGACTATTTAGTGGTGGTGTAATTTTTCTCAATAGCAACTGTTCTATCAACATTGGCCAATTTGGAAGGTGAAGAAACTTTTGAAGCTACGATGTTGGGACAAGCAGAAGAAGTGGTGCAAGAGAGAATCTGTGACGATGAACTGATCTTGATCAAAAAGTAAGAGCCGCTTTCTGAATCCTAAAGCAGATACAGTTTTGTTGTCAAGGACAAATCCATTTCCTTCCCATTTATTTGCTGCTGTAGTCTCTTGGTGATACGAGCAGTTATACGCATGGGATAGAACAACGTTGGCCGTTGTAGGTTGAGGTGTAGTAACTACGTCATCTCTTCTGCGTGGCCTGGACACTGTCTGTGTGTCAGTGGCCTGTAAGCAGAATTGAACCAGGACCGGTGCAATGAATCACTTTGTAAGAATTTCGTTTTTGCTCTTACTAGCACGAAGGCGCGGACATCCGCATCGATTATCTTACGTGGGGCCAATGATTTCATGTGTGATGAGATGGAGCGCTCTTTACATGACGCACTGTGCGTGGTGAAGAGAGTTTTGGAGTCCAAGTCGGTGGTTCCCGGTGGGGGTGCGGTGGAAGCCGCCCTCTCCATCTACCTTGAAAACTACGCCACCAGCATGGTGAGGATGACTTCTTTCCCAGGGCCGGGAGCTGAGCTTGCGCTGTCAGGGGACCTGGTCTGAGACCCTAGCTGCTGCTGTGGGTTGGGTTTTTTTTTCCCCCAGAGACACCGAACTGTCTTTCTCTTTAGGGATCTCGGGAACAGCTTGCTATCGCGGAGTTTGCAAGATCTCTTCTTGTCATTCCCAACACGCTGGCGGTGAATGCTGCCCAGGACTCCACAGATCTGGTTGCAAAGTTAAGAGCTTTTCATAATGAGGCCCAAGTTAACCCGGAGCGTAAAAATCTAAAATGGTGAGCATTTAGTTCCTTGTCTTTTTTTGTTGTTGTTGTTGTCACCTACTTACCACACCATGATAAATCTTCTTTAATCCCTTTCCATTTATTTGGAACATGGCACTTGCAATGATAGCGGCCATCTTAGAGTGTCAAAAAATGTCACTCACAGATGTATCAGAAGACCTAAATATTACAAGAAGCTTGTTGTTCAGCCAGTCATAACTCATCCAAAGGATGGTGGCTGCTTAACTTTGATTGTTGCCTTGCTTCTCTAGAGTCACTTTACTTGAGGGAAAATGTTAAGATGCATGGATGAGCGGTATGTATTTTTGGGCTCTCCCTTCAGAGTGCGACATGGCTTCATCAGGAATACATCCTAAGGAATATCTCATAAGGTCAGCTGATCCTTGTGAGAACATTACTGAGTGTACTTAATCCAGGGCGGCTGTGATTGTCACTAGGCACACTATTTTGGCCACTACCCTGTGTGTTCATTTCTTTGTCCAAAATGTCATACGGCATGATTACGTATTATCAGAGTCTTAGCCTCGCCTCAGTCTCCTAAACGAGTGGGTGGTGAACAGCTTAAATGAGAGAGACAGGATGTCTGATATTAGGCTGCAGGAAGGTCAAAACCCACTAATGGCATTTGTGAATTCCTGGGATTTGAGAGGAACTTCTCCAGGTGGCTTGTGTTTGTTTGGTGTCAAATAAAGGACAGGGTGAGGCTGGGGAGATAGCTGCGTTGAATAAGCTCTTGCCTGGCTTATTTTGGCAGAATCCCTGGTTTTGCCAAAAAATAAAATATAACAAAGGACAGGGTTATTGAGACAAGCTTCGGAACTGAGCAGGGTCACAGCTCTGTTGCTCTGGAATGGAGGGTGTCAGCCGCCCACGTCCTTGGTTGCCTCAGCTGTGACTATCTTCAAAGCACCATGCGTGTACTCTTTTTCTAGCACAGCCAGAGGTTCCTGTGTTCAGGGCCTTAACCCTGTACAGCCTGGTCTCCAACAATATATTAAGTTATCCTTGGACTCAGGTTTTTGTTTTTTATTTATTGCAGTATTGGGGATGGAACTCAGGACCTTATGTTTTTTTGTTTTGACGGAACTGGAGATTGAAGTCAGACCCTTGCATTTGCCAGGGAAGGGCTTATTCCACTGAGCCATCTCCCCGGCCCAAGGACCTTATGTTTGCCAGGCATGCACTTAAGCCTCTGAGCTGTCTCTCCTACCATTAATTTTTTTTGGTGGGTGGGGAAACATGGTCTCACATTATAAGTTGAAGCCAGCCTTGAACACACTATGTAACCCAGGTTGGCTTCAAAGAGAGCTGGCATTACTGGTGTGTGTCACCATGCTGGGTTTGGAATCAGGGTTTCTTTACTACCATGTCAGCCTTTTGACAAGGCTCCGCCATGCACTTGTCGACAGTCATAATTACTGTATCTGTAATTTTTCATTAGTACATTTTTGTAGTACATATAGTTCCATCCATTGTGGGGCACTGGTCCACGTACTTAACAAACCTTAATTAACTACTGCAGTCTTAAACATTTCTCAGAAACTGAAAAGTAATAGGCTGCTTAGTCAACTTGCAAGAGGTCATTTACCCAGTTTTTTCCCTTAATTGCAGGATTGGCCTGGATTTGATCAATGGTAAGCCAAGAGACAACAAACAAGCAGGGGTGTTTGAACCAACCATAGTTAAAGTGAAGAGCTTGAAATTTGCGACAGAAGCTGCAATTACCATTCTCCGAATTGATGATCTGATTAAGTTACATCCGGAAAGGAAAGAAGATAAACGTGGAGGCTATGAGGATGCTGTTCATTCTGGAGCCCTGAATGACTGACGTGATTTCCCTTTCATTTAATTTATAATGATTTTAGACGTAATGTCTTGTGGCTTGAGTATCACACATTAAAGTACAGCAAGCGGCCAGCTGTGTTGTGTGAGTCAGGAGATGGTTTTCTTCCTAGCTTTGGTCTTCATTTCACAATATATTACAACTTAGTACCTCAGTAGTTTAAAAGAAATGAGATGTAATTCAGACTGAATGTGTTTGCTGTTCAGCAGCTCGTCCTCTGAGCACACATTGCGATTCCCAGTGCACCCATGCACAGAGGCACAGCCCCATCCGTGCTTCCACGCATTCTCCTTCATGTCACAGGGTCTCAGAAATCCAGCAGCCAGGTCCTCCTAGAGGATGGCTTTTCCTCATTGCTGACCTAAATGGAAAAACAAGGTTTTCCTTAGATTATTTTTTAAAATATCCTTTTTATGTTTTTGTGCTTTGAGAGAGGATCTTGTTATTTAATTTAGGCTGCCTCCAGCTTAGCAGGAATCCTCCTACCTTATCCTCCAGGATGGACACGTGGACGTAGATTAAAGACCCATGCTTGTCTTTTTTTTCCTGTTATACCAGCAAACTACTCTTTTTCAGATTGAGTTTTCATATGAAGTTCTTTGGAATAAATTGACACTTTTTTGACATTTAGTGATGCCTGTCCTTGCCCTTTTTTTTTTTTTAAGAGCTAGGGATTGAACCTAGGCCCTTGCATTTGCCAGGCAAGTGCTTATTCAGCTGAGCCATCTCCCCAGCCCCATCCTTGTCTTTTAACTTAAAAATTATCATCCACCATGGTACTGGAATCAAACTGAGGACCGTGTACATGCCAGGCAAGTACAGTTACTAAGCTACCTCCATAGAGCTTTTTACTTTTGAAACAAGATCTGAGTTACTCATGCTTATTCCTCAAACTCGTGCTCCTCTCCTTAACAGGAACTATCAGGTACTACATCTGGTCAGTTTAAGTGTTATTTTTTGAATGTACATTGCCCCATTTCTGAAGAACCCTAATGTAGTCCAGGTCATTTGTCTAGAGAAGCAACAAAGCCAGTGGACAGATTCTCACTGTAGCTCAGGCTGACCTTAGACTCAGTGAACTTCCTGCCTCAGGCCTTCTAAGTGCTGGGATCACATCCATGTGCCACCAGACCAAGCTTAATTTCACACTGTGTATAACCTTAAAATTAGCTTATGAGAGTTAAGTGGTGCACTCAACTGCTTGCAGATTTTACCTTTCCAGCTTAATCCCAGTTCCTTACCTACTGCAGTAGCTTCAGCAGCCTCCTTTATTTCAAATCAACATCTTCCAGGGGCCAGCCTGTTTTTGCAAACTGAAAACAGTGGGTAAGTCTGGATGGGAAGGCTGAAGTTCATTGTTGGCCAAAGAAAAATACACAATAGGAAAAGGCCCTTTCCCTGCCTTGTGGATTGATGTACACACACAGTTTTAGTGACATTGATTCCATCCAGTAAATTAAAGTACCTGTAAAATGTACCTTAAAGAAAAGCCCGGCATAGTGGCACACCCATAATTCCAGCCCTTGAGAGGCTGAAGCAGGATAATTTCAAAACCATCCTGGGCTATCCAGTGAGCTGAAGGCCAGCCTGAACTGCATGGCAAGACAAGTACCATAAAGGACAAACTACATTAAAAAAAAAAAAAAAAAAAGGTGGCCAGGGATATAGCTCAGAGGCATAAGTTCCTGCCTGGCAAGTGCAAGGTCCCAAAATTCAGTCCCAGGTACTGCAAAGAAAAAAAAAAAAAAAAAAGGTGGCCAGGGATATAGCTCAGAGGCATAAGTTCCTGCCTGGCAAGTGCAAGGTCCCAAAATTCAGTCCCAGGTACTGCAAAGAAAAAAAAAAAAAAACAGGTGAAACCTGAGGAGTAACAGCCAGATGTGGTATAAGCATACGACCCCAGCACAAATCGTCACAGATTAGAGGCCAGCCTGGGTTGCATAATTCAAAGACCAGCAACTCTAGTCCCCCACCCCCAACAAAACACCTGGAATGGAATGGAAATCTGAGCAGAGGTCTGTGAGAGTTTAGTACAGAATTACTGGTTATTGGGCCACCTTAGGAGCCAGGGCCAGGGTGTGGAAAGGCTCTGTGCCACGGGCTCATGATGACTCCTCGACCCAAGCTGGGGAGCTCTGGAAAGCTCTGCAGTGTTAGATACAAAGTGTATGGAGGGGCCGGGGAGATGGCTCTGGAATAAGCGCTTCCCTGGCAAGCGCAAGGGTCTGAGTTCAATCCCCGGTTCCACCAAAAAAACATAAAATGTACCAGTGAAACAAAGTGGATATGGCAGAGCAGGTCAGAGAATTCAGCCAGTGTGTGCATCACCGGGCCCTGTGTGTCACTCCAGACTAGGAATCTGAACAGTTTCAGCAGCAGCTACTAAATGGGCATGCCCACAGCCTCACCCCCTCTTGCTGCTGATTATTCGTTAACATGCTGGAAGCCCTACCTCAATCCCCCACTATTGGAGGGAAGAGGTGGGCTCGGAGGACCTAGCTCATGCAGCACGATCCCAGTCTCGAGGGCTGCGCTCCTGTGAGCAGCTCCGGTTCTAGGATAGGTCAGGTCCTGTTTCCAATCCAGGGCTCTCACCAGTTCTGTGGCCACATGCCCTATTCTCTAAGCTTCGTTTGAGTCACCCCCACCTCAGAGACTATACCTGTGGTGTTTTCAGCCCAGCATGGGAGCCCAGACACCTCAGGTAAGAATGCTCACACAGGACAGAAGAGCAAGGAGGTGGCTCGTCTTGCTGCCCCTCCCCCCAGAAGTGCTGTGCTGCGGTGGCAGGTGGCAGGTGGCAGGCATGGTGACCAAACTGAGCCACTAGCTGAGCTGGCCAGATTGGGATTGCCGGCCCCACTGCTGGCTCATGCTGAAGGCTCTTCCGGTGCCGCCAGCCCCAGAGGAGGCGCCCACTGCCACTGGCACAGGTAGCAGGTCAGTCACCTCAGGGCCTTGGTTTTGCTTCTGTTCCACCATCTACTCCATCTTTTCTCCTAGGCCCCAGTCTTCTCTTCTATAACACGAGGATGGCTTCTTGGAAAGGAATGGGTTAATGTGTATGCAAAAGAAGCCTGGATGGAGTCAGGTGTCTCCTGCACACTTGTGACCCCAGCCCTCAGGAGGCTGAGAGCCATCTCACACAAAGCGAAATGCTATCTCAAAAACAAAGGTAAAAAATAAAAAAGCAGTAATATTCCCCCCACAGAAAGTTTGGAGGAGGCATCATAACTGGTAGAGAAAAATCACTTTCATTCTTTCACTTCTTCCTCTTCCATTATTCTAGTTGTGGGCCATTTGACCATTCACTGAACAAGCACTCAGGTGTCTATGGTACCCAGCTCTGAGCTGGCCACACAGGAAAGCAATGAACCATTTATGTCCCTCCAGAATGTTGAGGCAGGCAGGGAGAGGGATGAATACATTTGCAAGGACAGCGTGTGCTAAGATGAAGGGAAAGCCCAGGAGATGTATTTGAACCCAGCCAGGGTGAGCACGCCCCTTCCGGCAGGAGAAGTCCAGAAGCTTCTCTAAGAAAGGAATCCCTGGGGGTAGTCAGATGAAAGAGGAGAAAAAAAGGAAGAAAAAGATATTTTCTCCCAGCACTTGGGAAGCTGAGACAGGAGGATCACTACGAGTCCAATCTGTATAGTGAGATCCTGTAGATCATGTACTAAATACATAAGAAAAAGGAAAAAAAGGTATTTGAGCAGCCCAGTGGTAACAAGCAGCTTTGTGTCTGAAAGAACACATGCATTCTGGAGCAAACTTCTCTTTCTTGGCTCACCCTGCTGTCTTCGCTGTGGTGGGGATTGAACCCAAGGCCTAACACATGCCAGGCAAGTGCTCTGCCCCAAGCTATACCCCTACCAAGGGCCATTTCTCTGAACGTCTTTACTTCCCTTTTTTTTTTTTTTAAATTTTTTTTTAAATTTGTGTGTGTGTGTGTGTGTGTGTGTGTGGCCAGCTCAGCCCACCAGGGGGCGGGGCTGGCTGGCATGTGGTGCTGGGGGATTGGTCCCTGTGCTTTGCTAAGCTTGTTCTAAGTAGGTTTACTCCCTTTTCATTGTTCAAAGGTCCCTTCTTTCCTGAGCCACAAAAGTCCAAAGACCTGTGGTTACAGTCAGGAAACCCCTTCTCCCTTCCACTGCTTTGGAATCCCTACTAGTACCTGAGGAGCTGACCAGGCCTTGACTAGGATTCCAAGCTGACTTCATGCTGTGGCCACCCCCTATACCTTCCTCAGGATGAAAAGGGCCAGGGCTCATCAATGGTTCCACCTAGAGCCTGGAAAGTGGGAATCATCAAAAGAAAGAATTAGCTGAGTCCTGGAATGTGACAGGCTGGGAGATGGAGAGAAAAAGGGAAAGGACAGGTAGGGGGCAGGCGGGGGAATCCCCAGTACGGCCTGTCTGGGGTCTGGATGGCAGGAGGCTGCGTAATCCTGCTCCCCCATGTTCTTGATACCCTTTCCAATCTGAGCATATGAGCACCACGTAACTCCCAGCCTCTGAGCACCAGGAAGCTGGGATTTGAACCTGGTAGTCTGACAGTAGTAGTTAGTCAAGGTGCTTATTACTTCTCTAAGCCTGTTTCATCATCTGCACTTCTGTTTTGAGACAGGGTCTTTGTATGTAGTTTAGGCCTCTAACTCATAGCGATCCTCCCGACAGCCTCCTGAGTGCTAAAATAAAGTATGAGCCACCATTCCCAGATTATCATCAGTAAAATGGGCAAATAAGAGTTCTTACTTCTTTGAGTCATTTGGAGGATCAAATTAGAAAAAGATGTTGGACCAGGCCAGGTGGCAGATGCCTGTAAGCTTAGTTAGTGGAGAGGCTAAGGCTGGAAGATTACATTTTCAGTTCGGTCTAATCAGCTTAGCAAATTGGGGGTTTGCGAGAAGAATGACACATCTCATTGCTATTTGTTTCTCAATAAAATTATGGAAAAAATAAAAAGAATGACAATACAGGAGACATATTTTATAAGATTACTTATAGGGGCTGGGGAGATGGTTCAGTAGAATAAGCGCTTCCCTGGCAAGTGCAAGGGCCTGAGTTCAATCCCCGGTTCCACCAAAAAAAAAAAAAAATAGTCACCCAAAAAATCATGTACAAAAAGAGAGTGCAGAAAATCTGTCCACACCCTGAAGACCAAGGAATTCATCTGAGGGCCTAGATCCTAGCATCCTGCATGAGTCCAGCTGAAGCCCTAGAGCTCATACCAATACCTTCCACAAGTCTAACTGGAGACCTAGAGCCCACGACAGTGTCTCATGCAGGCCCATTTTACTGATCTGTGCTCAAAAGGCCTAGAGGTCAAAAGCTAGAAAGTCTGTGCCAGCGGGATGAAGGATCTGTGCTAGCAGACTGAGGGCTCTGTCCTGGAGCCAGGAAGCCATTGCTCAAGGTATAAGGACCAAAGCTCCCCTGAAAAGTACCATAGCCATCCTCGGCAACAGTGAGGTCCCAGGCTCCTTCAGTGATGAGGAAAGCTGAATTCCATCAGGAAAACCAGTGTGACAAGCTTCTCCAAGAGACTGAGCTGTGTACCATCTTTCCCTCCAGAGCATCAGAAAGTGATGCTCAGGCCGGGGAGATGGCTCAGTGGAGTAAGCGCTTCCCTGGCAAGTGCAAGGGCCTGAGTTCAATCTCTGGTTTCATCAGAAAAAAAAAAAAAAGGAAAGTGGTGCTCAAGATGAGGACCAGAGTTCCCTCACAGTGAACTGAGCCATTCTCAGCGACAATGAGGCCCCAAGTGCCTCCTCCGAGAACAGCCAGGTTCATCAGGAAAGCGGGGATCCCAAACTCCTGCAAGAGAACCAACAGCTTCTAACAGCACCCAACAGCTTCTCCAAATAGCATCCCTAACAGTCTTATGCTGCAGGCAACAATCCTCAGGTGGGCCTCCCACACCCAGCACCACACTGGCTCAATTCAGCAGTATATTATAAGTTGACCACCAGTTGTCAATCCACTGCACAAGTCCTTGTCTCAAAAAATGAAAAGGACCAAGGATATAACTTAGTGGTAGAGTATTAGCTTAGCATCCACAAATCCCTGGGTTCAATTCCCAGTGCTATTAAAAGAGAAGGGTGGGGAAGATGACAAGCAGAAATGGACACTGCTTGAGACCAGTGCGCTCCTCCACAGATGGGCATGCCATCCTCTTACCTGCATTGGCGAGCACCAAGCTCTAGGCTGGGCCCGCTCAGCATGAGAAGGTGAGTATCTCACATGGCAGGAGAAGGAAAGTGGCTCTCACTAGAGCCTCTGCCTCCTGGGATTGGGGCTGGGAACTGATCCTCTAGTGCAATTCCTGACCTCCCCAACCCCTGTGTGATCCCCAACTGCTCCTTCCTAACCAGCCTGCTGTAGCAGTGAGATGGAAGCAGAAGAGTGTGGCGATGAGGCTGCAGCCTGCTCAGCCCCGGCACTGAGGGCCTTCAGCAGGAAGTGGAGAGTGTGAAGCAGAGCAGGACGTGGGCTCAGGCTGATGCTCGCCTGTCCTGCCGGCCCATCTCAGACTGGAGTGCACTTAATGGAGACACGTCCTCAGCGCTCCGACACCATCGCCACAGCACTGCCAGGGCCTCTGCCCTCCAGAAGGTTGAGGAGCACTAGACAGGGAGCTACAAGAGGCCTGGCCTTGTCCTGTTCCCACCAACAACAGTGAAGAAGCAGCAGAAAAAACGGGCTGACAACTGAGGCAGGGTGGCGTGACCCTCCTGGACCAGTCACAGCTCCTCACCCATCCACAGCAGCAGAGCGCTTTCATTCAACAGAGGTAGGAGCCCACCTCAGTGAGCAAGTGCCTCACGTGCAGGTGCTACCGAGCACTCTTTAAGTCAGCAGGAGCCCTGGGCATGGTGAGGGACTCAGCTCCAGGCTTCAAGCTACGGTGGTTCTGGCTGGGGATACAGCTCAGCAGCACAGCACCTTCCTGGCAAGTGTGAGGTCCTGAGTTCAATTCCCAGTACCTGCCATCCCTCAAAAAAATAAATAAATGGGGCCAGGGAGATGGTTCAGTAGAATAAGCGCTTCCCTGGCAAGCTCAAGGGCCTGAGTTCAATCCCCAGTTCAGAAAAATATAAAAAATATAAATAAATAAATAAATAAATAAATAAATAAATAAAAGCTACTATGGCTCCCAGCTCTAGGGAGTTCCAGACTGTAGGCTCAGCTCTGGGCTTTGGACTCCAGTCTGGGCTTAGCTACTGATGGGCCAAGTTTTAGGATCTGAGCTAAGTTTTGAAATCTCACCTGGGATCCTGATACCAGGCTGGTCAGGTGCTGGGTTCTAGCTATAGGGTTCTAGAGTTAGCGTTGATCTCAGGCAATACCCGCTTCTTGGACTGTTACAGCTCCTTACACCCTGCTGTCTTACGGGCAAAGCCACAGGAGCTGCAGGCCCTAGAGAAGGGTGTCTATTTCACTTGAGATACACTTTTCAACAAATAAAGTAGATTTCTCTAAAAATGAATGGATGTGTGCCTTTATTTTATGAGTCAAGGGAGAACTGGGAAGAAAAGCTGTACAGCCGAGTGCTTCTCTGCCATAGGCTGGGTGACAAGCCCTCACTGTGTAGTCCATGGCTGCACTTGAGGCTACGTGCCTGCCCAAGTGATGGGCTCTGGTCCTGCTCACATCCACCCCTCCCCAGCACCTTGGAGTCCAGCAACGCTCCCCACCCCATTTTCAGGGAGACAGGTAATAGAGGAATACAGCTAGTGCCAAAGGGTAGGAGGCCAACCTGAGCAGGACAGCGGGTCAGGTACCTGGAGGGGAGGGTGCAGGTGTGGGATCTGTCACAGGGAGAGTCCCAACACTAAACCTCTCCTCTCTCTTCCTCTCCCTTCCTTTCCCCTTATCTCTCCTCCCCTCCCCTCCCCTTTCCTTTCCTCTTCTCTCTTATTCTTTCAACCCAGCCTCACCTCCAGCTCCTAGATCCTGAACAGATTCACATCCTCTGACTCCACCCAGGGCACACAGCAGACCGAACCTCTCCTCTCAGCCTCTGCCAGTGGCCCTACCCTGGAAGGTGTCCCTGGCTTCTTCTGTGGGGTAGAGGGGGCAGTGGGAGGGGCTCCTAGGCCGGAATGCCTGGATAGAATGCAGAAGGCTGGAGGTCATAGCCGCCTCTGTGATCTTACTGTGAGGAGGACCAAGAGCACCTGGAGCAAAGTTTTAGGAGGAGAAAGAGTAACAGTGACTTGGTGGCAAGACCCAGACTCAGGCAAGTCAAACATTTGAGCACCCTGGTAGGGGACCCCTGCCTGGCTCACCACAGAGCTGCCACCTGAGGGTGGGCAGGGACCATGGCTGCACTGACGGCTGCTCCTCTCTCCTGCAGAGCACCATGCACCATCGCTTCAGCCGGCCGCAGGAACAAGTGTTTGTCAACCGCCAGGACATCATAAACAAAAAGGTGGGAATGAGTGGGGGTGGGATCAGCAGGGACCCTCTCCACCCAGCCTACATGCCTTGATCTCCAGCTACTCCTGCTCTAGAGCAGACGTCCAGGCCGAGGGCGCTGTGATGACACCTGCCTGAAGGAAGGTCTCCACCCTCCCCCAGGATGCCTGGGACAAGCAAGAGTTCATTCGCACGTCCATCCAATACATGCTGCAGCACCCCGCCTTTCAGCTGCTGCTGGCCTTGCTGCTGGTGACCAACGCCATCACCATCGCTCTCCGCACCAACTCCTTCCTTGACCAGGTGGGACGCAAGCCCAACCTCTTCCCCTATCAGCTCTGATAGGGTTGGGGGCGGGCACTTTCCCCTCGGGCTCTTTGTTCTATGATGGCTGGTTGGGTGTTCTTCAAGGGTCAGCCCAGTCTGGCCTTCTGGGGATCTAGAGGTCAGAATAACTGTGGTGGAGGGGACTCTGGAGCCCGAACTGAGGAAAATGCTGGATTTGTTGAAGAGCAAGAACAGAACAGCCCACTGTAGAGGGAGACAAGTGGGTACCTTGCGTGGGGTGATGGCCAATTGTCACTAAAGGAGTCACTCAGGCCAGGTGCTGACTCTGCTTGGTACCGAGGGTCCAGGTAAAGACCAACAGACCCACTTTCTGTCTCAGACAGATGCACACACACACTGTTACAGTGCCTGAGTGTCAGAGTGTGTGAAGCTCAGTGACAATCCAACCTTTCCTGGGCGGTCAGGGAAGGCTTCCTTGGTGACGGCGGCACTTATACCGAGAGTCAAGAAGAGGAAGCTAGATGTGATGGTGCATGCCTGTGGCCCAGCACTCAGGAGACTGAGGAAAGGATGACGAGTTCGAGTCAGCCTGGGCGATAGCAGAAATCTCTACCTTGAAAAAAATTTAAGTCACAATTAACCACACAGGGGCCAGGGAGATAGCTCAGTAGGAGAAGTTCTTTGCCTGGCAAGTACAAGGGCCTGAGTTCAATCTCTATTCTGAAAAAAAAATAACCACACTAAGTGAGATGACAAGGGAAAAGTATTTTGGACAACAGAAACAGCATGGGAGAGAGTTGTGTGTCCAGTTCAAAGTCCAGTGACTTTGGTCTTACTGATACTTTAATTTTCTTGGTGTTTTAAGAGTACCAAGAGTACACAGGCATGTATTGTGTGATTTGATATCAGTATGTCAGCCAGGTGCAGCGGTGCACACCTGTAACCCCAGCACTCAGGAGGCTGAGGCAGGAGGATCACTGTGAGTTTGAGGCCAGCCTGAATTGCATAATGAGACTGTCTCAAAAAGACAAAAAAAAAAAAACCAAAAAAAAAAGTCAAATCAAAACAGATCAAAATGTCAGCCTGGGGGTGCAGGTTAGCAGTAGCGTGCTTGCCTAGAATGCACACAGCGCTGTGTATGATTCCTTGCTGAAAAAATATATTCCCTTTGTTGGCAGCAGATAAGCTCAGAAAGGTGATCAGTGGCCAGGTCACACGGGGTCATAAAAGATGACTTTTTTCCTTTGTCAACAGAAACCCAGGGAAGGATTTTTTTTTTTTTTTTTTTTTTTTTTTTTGCGGAACCGGGGATTGAGCTCATGCCCTTGCGCTTGCCAGGCAAGCACTTATTCTACTGAGTCAACTCCCCAGCCCCCAGGGAAGGATTTAAAGAGCTGAAGCGAAATGCACAGGCTCATGCTTTAGAAAACTTGCAGTGGCTGCCACAGTGTAGCCTCTAGGGAGGGGCTAAGAATGGAAAAGGTGGGCCAGGAGGCCTGCTGCTGCAGGTGTGCCCATGAGGGGCTTCACGTAGGAGGTCAGAAGCTCTGGCAGCTCTCTAGGGTAGAATCCGTGAGCCTCCCTGACTGGTCAGATCCCTAGCTGACGCTTACCCTTTCCCTGTGCCACCTTGTGCCAACAACACGTATCCTCATCTCAGGCATGCAGACAAAGGGAAAGCCCGAAGGTAAGTCCCCGACTGCTAGTGGTAGGGCTGGTGCTGTGTCGGGGCCAGGGGGGCGTGGGGCACACAGGAGGAAAAGCGGGTCTGCAGAGGATGCGGGAGTCAGGGTGAGCTGTGTGGGGTCCTGTGCTGTCTCAGCGCCTGTGCAGTGTCTTGCAAGGACTCTAGATCGAGGCTGAAAGGAGCTTGAGGTCCTGGCTGAAGAGGAACATATGAGCATTGTCTATGCGCCTGTGCCCAGACTGGGGAGGGGACACAACGACCTGCGGAGTGTAGACAAAACCAAGACCGATCCAAGGAAAGCTTCCACACATGAGACAGCAAGGGAGGTGTCGGGGAGAAAAGGAGGCTGGGAAGAAGCGGCCAGGGGCCCGCTGGGACAGCCCAGGAGAGATGTCCCGGCAGCAGTGCCGCATGTGGCGAGATGCAGCTGACGAGGGCCAAGAAGCATTTCCCACATTCGTTCTGCTGATCTGCCCTGGAGCCAACTTCATGTGATGGAGGCAGAAATGCGCCTGCCAAGTGTGCAGAATGAGCAGAGTAGATAGATAGAGGGGAGCGGAGCACAGCTGCGACGGGCTATGAAGTCAGTCCAGATCACAAATGCCGGCTTTATGGTCTGTTTTATTTTTGAGACTCATATAGTGAGCTGTTCCCACTATACAGTTCAGGCTGACCTTGAACTCACTAGGTAGTGCAGGCCATCCCTGAGCTTGCTCTGTAGTCCAAGCTGGCCTTGAGCTTGTGATTCTCCTGCCTCAGCCTCCTGGCATGTACTACAACACCTGGGAAGAAGCTCTTTCTCTGGGTTCATAGCCATGATCTCTAACAGTGCTTCGGGAATTTGAAAAAAGCAGGAAGCCCATAAGACTTAACCCACATTTTAGTAAAAGAAGCGCTGGGCCGCGTGGCATTGACTGTGGGTGGGGTGGTGGCAGGCACAGGCAGCAGGGAAGCCCCATGTGCAGTAGTGAGCTCCGAGGGACCAAGTCTGTTGACCTCTGGAATAAAAGAAGGAGATGATCCAGGTGTGGTGGCTTGTGTCTGTGATCCCCACACCCTGGGAGGCCGAGGCAGGAGGATTGCAAGTTCAAGCACAGCCTAGCAATTTAGCAAGACTCTGGCTCAAAATAAAAACTAAAAAAGGCTAAAGAATAGCTCAGAGGTACACAGCCCCTTGGTTGGATCCCCAGTACCACCACAACAAAACAAGACAAAAAATAAAGGAGGAGACAAAGTGACTTTGGTGACACCAGGTTGAAATGAGGTGGGAGGGTAATAGGCTGTTAGTAGAGGTCACAACTATAAGGAAGCTGAAAGAGCAGGGCTGAGGTGAGACAGAAGTGAGCTGACTTTGAACAGATCCTAGGAGTCATCTGCCCGTGATACCTGCTCCAGGCCAGGACAAGGACGAGGACACCAGGAGCTGGGTTAGTCCTGGCCTGGAAGACTCAGGGTGCTGGAGCAACAGAAGTGGTAGACACAGAGAGAAGGGCCCTGGGGGTCGGTGTCCCCCAGCCGCAGGGTGAGGCTTCTTCCTCTCGCTGCAGGGCCTGCTCAGCCTCCCTACCTCGCTTCCCTGACTTCTCCTGTCCTAGAGGCTGCAGAGCAACAGGGACAAAGGTCTTTGGTCAATAGCAATCTTTTCTTTTTAAAATTTTTTCTTTTTTCTTTTTTAAAGAATACAGAATAGTAAAAAAAAAAATAGAAATGATACAAATTTCACTAAACAAAGTAATAGCAGTTCGACAGTGGTTGCTGTATTGTACGATGTTATCTTCAAATTAGTTGTTTAGGCAATAGCAATCTTTTCTGACAAATCTGTGTGCACCGGATTCCTCTCTAGTCCCTGTCTGGAAGATAGGAATAAGATCTCCTTGTTTTGGATACAAGATCTTGCTATCTAGCTCAGGCTGGCCTTGAACTCCCAGCAGTTCTCCTGCCTCCACATTCTGAATGCTGGGATTACAGGCATCTCCGCCACACCAAGTTGGGACCTGCTTTGCAGGACTGTATTGAGAGTCACATGAAGCAGTGCATGCGTGGTCTCAGCACAGGGCCTGTGGTTAGGAGGAACTTGTAGGGAGCGATTGAAGCGCTGGGATGAGCAGCGGCAGGGACAGACACAGGCCTCCCCTCCCTGCACACGTGCTGGCCCTTCCTGGCCCAGGTCCTGCTCACTGATGCCCCGCCCTTCTCTCCATCTGCCTCCCACTTAGAAACACTACGAATTGTTCTCAATCATAGACAACATTGTGCTGACCACCCTCGTCTGTGAAGTTCTCCTTCGCTGGCTCAGTGGCTTCTGGATTTTCTGGAAGGTGAGACTCTGGGACCTCTGTGCCACTGCCCTCTCCCTGAGGGTTAACCCACTGAGAGCTATCAGTGTGTGGGGTGGGGGAAGGCGAGAATGTGGAAGGAAAGGGAAGAGAGAGGAGAAGCAAGAGCATTTCTAACAAGTGAGACGTGCAGCACAACATGGATTCTAATGCCAAATTCCCCTCTGGGCTCTAGTTCTACAGTCAGGTGAACCCTGATTTCTTTTTTTTTTTTTCAGAACCGGGGATTGAACTCAAGTCCTTGTGTTTGCAAGGCAAGCACTTATTGTACTGAGCTATCTCCCCGGCTCCAATTTTTTTTTTTTTTTTTTTTTTTTGTGATACCAGGGCGTGAACTCAGGACCTTATGGTTGGCAGGCAAACATTAGTCGACTGAGCTATCTCCCCAGCCCTGAACCTTGATTTCTGTAGCTGAGAAATAGGGCTGATAGGGTTCTGGAGCAGTAATCAGCAAACCAGTGCAGTCCACCAATGGGTAAATACAACGTGTGGTAGGCTCTGAATTCTCTGGTGCAATGACTCACCTTCCCAGGGACACAGAAGTGGCCACACAGTGCACACATGCCGGAACGTGACTGCGTCCAAACATAGTGTTTTGGGAGGATTTTTTGTTTTTGTTTTTGTTTGTTTTGTTTCTTGAGATGAGGTCTCACTGTGTTGACTAGCTGGACCCAAACTCATAGGTTCAAGTGATCCTCCTGCCTCAACCTCTAGAGTAGCTGGAACTGCAGGTGGATGCCACTGTGTCCAGTTCTATTCCAATAAAACTTTAGGGGCCAAGGAGATAGCTCAGTAGAATAAGTGCTTGCCTGGCAAGTGCAAGGGCCTGAGTTCAATTCCCAGGTCTGCCAAAAACAAAAACAAAAAACAAAACCAATAAAACTATATTCACGGGCACTGAACTTTGAATTTCCTGAACTGTTGCATTTCAAAAAGTAGACAGGCAGGGTCAGGGAGATAGCTCAGCAGTCCAAGCACCCACCCAGCAAGTACAAGGACCAAGGTTCAATCCCCAGTACCATATGCCATGCTGGCCCCATCCCCAGCTCTGGGCCACTGAAACCGGGCATGGTGGTGCACACCTGTAATCCCAGTGCTGGGGAGGCTGAGACAAGAGAATCACTACAAGTCCAAACTGCATAGTGAGACCCTGTACCAAACAAATAAAAGATTAAAAAAGTAGATAGGCAGACGTTATGTATGTGCAAGCACAGATAGAGTATAAGGGGCCAGGATAACTTGCGTTTATAGTGAGCTCAAGGCCACCCTGAACTGCATAGTGAGAGCCTGTCTCAAAAAGACAGGGCTAGGGAGATAGTGCAGTGGCTTAAGTGCCTGCCTGCCAATGCGAGGTCTTGAGTTCGATCCACAGTACCAAAAACACAAGTTCCTTCAAAAAGAAAAAAAAATAGGGGCTGGTGAGATGGCTCAGTGGTCTAAAGCACCTACTTAGAACAAGCTTAGCAAAGCACAGGGACCGCGGTTCAATCCCCCAGCACCACATGCCAGCCAGCCCCGCCCCCTGGTGGGCTGAGCTGGCCACACACACACACACACAAACAAAAAAATAAATAAAAAAATAAATAAATAAATAAGAAAAAAAGAAAATAAATAAAAATTATTTTCTTTTTAAATATTTCACTCAAATACATACTGGTCAAAACTATATTGAAAATTTACACAGAATTCTTGTTCCATTCCAGTCCTGTCATCCCTTCTCCCACCCCCTCTAGGTAACCTTCTTTGGTGGTTATTTTGACAATCATAAGCAAATAAACACATACGTTTAGTCTTCTTCCTAGCCTGATGGCAGCATCCACATAGCTTTTGTTGCTGACTGGATCCTGACAATCTTTCTGTGTTAGCAGCTGGAGATTTTTCTCAGTGATCTTTTTTAAGACTACCTAATGCTCATTAAAGTGAAGGTTCCATACTTTATTCAACCAGTCTCTGAGGTCTGGGTGCTCTGGTTGTGTCCAACCTTAGACAGATGTCATGTTGTGCCTACGCCAGAGCACCGCTGGCTCAGATCATTGGTCACATTGTTCCTACAGATAAGCTGCTTCCTCACACCCTGTCTTACAGCAGGAAGTAAGGGCGGTAAGGGTGGTCTCCCTCCCTTCCTTGTGCCATGAGTGTAATTTCACATTCGCCTTGCTACTGAAGCAGTGTTTTGGGTTTTTTTTGCAAAACCAGCAATTGAACTCGGGCCCTTGCACTTGCCAGGCAAGTGCTTATTCTACTGAGCCGTCTCCCCGGCCCTTGAAGCAGTGCTCCTTGACTAGTATTTTCTTTCCCTTTATTCGGTGTAGTGTATCCCACACAGGCAGGATCACACACAAGCTCTTAGGTCACCTCCTTATTGGCAAGGCCACCTCTGCAGGTGCTGGGCCCTGGCAGCCTCAGCCTAGGGACATCTGAGTGGCTGTGAGGGAGCTCTTCCCTGGAGTTTCGGAGCTTCCGCTGGTTATCAATGCACGTGCAGGACAGCGAGCGCACGTGTGTTCTGAGTCATGTCTGGGGATGACAGTGCAACTGCAGTGGATGGCAGCTGACTGTCCTGCTCTGAGAGCACCGCGCCCTTTTCCTCAGGGCTGGGGAGGGCAGACTGTCAATGCCCCATGGCTGGGCCTGACTGGCCCCACTGGGGCTGGCGCTCCCTCAGGACGGATGGAACATCCTCAACTTCTTCATTGTCTGCATGCTGATATTGGGTGTCTTGGACGTGGTCAGTGACTCCATCACCTACTGTCTCAGGTAAGCTGGAGCTCTGGAAGACAGGGAGACCCGGCTATAGCCAAAGACCTGGAATGGATGGCTGGGAAGCTGGAGCCCAGTTCTGCCTCTGTGGGAAGCTGGCGAGGGGTGGCTGGAGGGGCTGGGTAAGGCAGAGGGGCAACTCCAAGATCTTGCCACAGGGTGCTGCGGCTGGTCCACGTGTGCATGGCGGTGGAGCCCCTGGCCCGAATCATCCGCGTCATCCTGCAGGCAGGCCCTGGCATGGCTCAGATCTGGGTCCTCATCCTCTTTGTCATGCTGGTCAGTGCCACTCCCCTTCCCTGACTTGAGCTCCTGAGGCTTTGGGAAGAGGGAGGGGTTTCTGGGGAAGAGAGGCTTACAAGTCTGAGGCTCTATATTTCTTGTGGCAATCTTTATTTGCCTCTTACTGTGTTATGCTCCAAGTGCTCTGAGTGAAGCTGGGGTGGGGCTTTGGTCTGTGGCAGGTGTTTGCACTGCTCGGGGTCACACTCTTCGGTGAGTTTGTGCCTCTCCATTTCGGGAACCTGGGGGTGGCCTTGTACACACTCTTCGTCTGCCTCACACAGGACGGATGGGTAGACATCTACAGCAACTTCCGGTGAGTGTCCTGGGATGCAGGCCTCCTCCTATCAAAGAGGAAGAGTTCCTATAAGACAAGGGGGTTGGGCAAGGGGGTGCTGCCAAGGTACATGTGGGCTCCAGGGGAAGAGGTGGGCCTACCAAGAAGGGGGTGTTCACACTTCAAACTGGGGATGAGACATCTCTGAAGTGGGGCTCTGGGCCTGTGGTACTAAAACCCTTGACCCCTGCCTAGAAACTTCATGCATTCAAAATGCCACCTGGCTCATTTTGGTCCTGCTCAGAATGACCACGTAAGGTCATGTTTCACTGACCTATCCAAGCCAGATTTCTCTCTAGTCCACTTCAGGCAGTAGGGCCCTGATGTTATATATGTTATATATGTTCTTTGTGAGTGTGTGTTCCCTTCATGAGGGCAGAACCCCATAGCTAAACATTTCTAGAATTAGGACCCATGAGGACATAGGTCATGGAAAAGAATCACCAACTGCGTCTAAAACTGCACTGGAGGGCCCGGGAGCTGGCTCAGTTGAATAAGTGCTTCCCTGGCAAGCTCAATGGCCTGAGTTCAATCCCTGGTTCCACCAAAAAAAAAAAAAATAAAGAAAATAAAAATAAAATAGAACTTCACTGAAGGTGTTAAGAGGTTGGGGTCTTATCCGGGATCTTTGAGGCCCAAACAAAGAATTGAGCAGGTCATCCAAGAATAGGAACAGGATCAATGATTCATTTGAAAGAGAATAGACAAGATTCAGAGTGGGAGTGGACAGGGAGAAGAATTTGTAGTGCCAAGGGAGCTTGGTTTTGAGGGCTTCCAGCCTTAGGGTTTGGGGTGACACTGAGGGTTTGGCTTGACGTATCACTCCTGCCAGTGAGCAGCTGGATGCACCCCCTCTATCAGCTGGAGGAGTTTTTGCCCTTAGAGAACTTGTCACAGAATCCAAAGCCCACAGTGGGTCACGGGCATGGTGATTAGGGTTGGAGGTAGCCAAGGGCTGCGGAAGGCCACAGGGCATGTGCTGAGGGCTTACTGTTTATAAGCTACTTCCACTGTATTTAGACCAGGGCATCCTGGTCCTAGGCTAATGCTGAATTCAGAAGTTGAATCTTGTGTCAGAGTGGGCATCACGGGTGGACCCTCCCTCCTCTCTCCAGTCCATCTTTTGTTGCCTCAGTTCCTGCCCAAAACGCAGGCTGCAAAGTGGGCTGGCCCTGTCTTCTATTTTGGTGGGACTGGGATTGAACTCAGGGCTTTGTACTTGCCAGGCAAGCGCTTATTCTACTGAGCTATCTCCCTGACTCCCCTCCCTCTTTTTCCAGCCTTTTCTTTAGCATCCTCTTGTCTCAAAAGAGGCTTGTCTAAAAGGACCAAAACCAATCAAGACATGTTATATATGTACTGATTTCCCAATGTGAATTTACATATAAAATGAATTTAATATATATTATAGTACATGATATTTATATCATAAAATTACACTGGGTTATGGAGATCTTGGTCCACCACACTAGTCCTGTGAATCTGAGCAAGTTACTTCACTGCTTTCCTGAACCTCTGTTTCATCAACTGTAAGCTGGGAATTACTGTATAGTATTAACTATGCCACTCTGGGCACAGTGGTGTACACCTGTAATCCCAGCACTTGGCAGGCTTAGGATGCCACTATGCCCAGCTAAGAGAGCCATATTGTGAAGAGAATTATTTATTTGGATTCTTTACAATTTTGTAATATTTGGTTTCTTTTCTTTCCTTTTTTTTTTTTTTTTTTCAATTTTGTAATATTTGGGACTGAACCCAGTACCTTCACAATGAGCTATACCCCAGCCCTTTAAAATTTTTTTGTAGGGCTGGCCAAATAGCTCAGTGGATCAAAGCACCAGTTTAGGCAGATGCAGCAGCTGGGGCTTAATCCCAGGGTTCAAACCCTGGGGTGCCTGCCGGCCCTGCCCCTGGAGCTCGCTGAGCCATTGATTGAGACTGGGTGTGGTGGTGTGCACCTGTAACCCCAGCTCTTGGGAGGCTGTAAACAGGAGGATCACTACAAGTCTGATCTGTGTAGTGAGACCCTGTACTAAAATACAAAAAATAAATAAAAAATATTTTTAAAAAAATTTCTGAGGCAGGGTCTCATTAAGTTTCCCAGGCTTGGCTGAAACTCTCAGCCTTCCTGAATTAGCCTCCCAGAATGTGGGGACTACTGGGGGGCACCACCCTAACAGGCATGGGAAAATATCTCATGGGAAATTTACAACAAAGTATTAACAACAGGTAATTCACCAGATGGAAATTTTAAGTCTGTTTATAAGGTGTAATCTGGGGAGATAGATCATGGCATAAGCACCTGCCTGGCAAGCACAAGGTAGTGAGTTTGATCCCTGGTACCACCAAAAAAAAAAGTATGAGGTGTGATCAAAAAGCAATCAATGAGTCTGGGTGGAGTAGTGTACGTCTATAATCCCAGAGCCGGGGAGGCTGAAAACAGGAGGATCACTATGAGTCAGAGCTGTGTAATGAGACCCTGTATCAAATACATTAAAAAAAAAAAGAAAAGAAAGAAAGAAAGAAAAAAGAGGGGCTGGTGAGATGGCTCAGTGGTCTAAAGCACCTACTTAGAACAAGCTT